GTGAGCCGATTGGACGTTCAACTTTTATCTCATCGCAGCTTTTTGCACGGGAGAACTATCTAACCCACCCCGGAGCCCCTATCCTTCCAAAAAAAATAGGTTTTATCGGCTCAGAAAAAGAATATCCATAATATGCAAGCATATTAACATGTGCCAAGAGTTAGTTCGTTCTTAATCACGAAACACATCAGTACAACCTCACCATTCCTTCCCCGACTCAGGCCCACTACTATCTCGCTGGAGAGAGCGCAGAGTGCCGCGCTGCGTGCCCCCCCCCCATCCCACTTAGCACCGGAACTGTATCCTGATGTTTCAAGATAACACACTAGCCTTCTTCTTCGAGTCCCACTAAGCGGATGTTGCTGCACGCTCACGACAACAGGTGTAAAGCTCCAGAGAAACACTATGTTAACTCGATCAACACTGGCCGTGGTCAAGTCGCTACGTAATTGCTTGCAGAATATGCAGATTGGAATAAGGCGGTAGAGTTCAATGAATAGGTAGGAAGTGCAGGAATTAGAAGAGAAGTAGTTAGGAGTTGAGAGGACTCAGGTAGTTGTAGAACATTGCCAACTAGAAAAGTGCTAGACAGCACTGATACACACCGTTTCATGCAGCACCTTTTACGATTCAACCGTGATCATGTGAAAACCTTTCGCGCTGCCCTACTGGGACCGCGTTGTCTTAATTTTCGTGGTAAAGTCAACCCGCAGTGTCGGTATATATGTGTGACTGACTGTAAAATCATAACTCTTGTCTCCGTAGAGCTAAAGCGTTCAAAGCTGGTATAATTTTAGTATGAGTACAAGCTGCAAGACGGGAACACCAATAGTAGATAGCAGAAGAGGACTCCGTCAGCTGGAGCAGGACGTGAGTGAAAATGGCTCCCTCGAAGCTGGAAGATGCAAATTCGGAAGGAGTACAGGGGGTAGCATTGGAACATTGATGAAAGCTGACAGGACTAAACTCCGCCCGCAAAAGAGGGCGGAGCGTAAGAAAAAAGTTAGTGTCTGAGGGGAAGTTCACAAATCCTATTACCTTGGACCGGGTACGGAAAAAAATTTTCGATCGCACCTAACCAAGCTCGCCTCGCACCTAGGCGTGAAAATACCTTAATTAGATGCGAAGACTCCGCGGTAATTACGCTTCCCGCACTCGCTACTAATCGATTGAAAACTTGCCAACTAAGAAGGATAATGACAGTTTAAAAAATGGAGATTCTATTAAAAAATGTTCTTTTTTCAAAGAAAAAGTTCCAATATCAATTTCAACGGTTTTGAGAGCATTGACACGCATAATAAATAGATTCAATATATTTTGTGAATAAAGTTTGTGTGATATGAGAGAAAACGGTTCAATCCAATAGAAATAAGAGTTTATAAGCAAAAAAACTCAGATAGTTTTAACTTCCATGTTCGGTCTTCTTGAAACCTGGGCATATTGTATAATATTTTTCACTGTTTTGCCGTACAGGTTTGTTAAGGCAGAAACCGCTTTATTGGTCGACGTTTCGACAAATCGTCGTCTTCAGGACCTGAAAGCAGTTCGGAGCTCCTGATCTGTGGCTTACCCGACCAAGCGCCCAAACGCGCTAGCCCAGTTGCAACAGCTCCCAAAAACTTGAATACTAAAAGATCCCAACCGAGAAACCAACCTTCTGCGGCTCCACCAACGTTGTCGTCCCACTCGATTTTGTGAACAAACAGGGACCAATGAGATACACCATTGACGGTCGTTGTATAAGAGTTGCTCGGTGTTCTCAAAGTCCACAAAAAGAAATGAACGGCAGGAATTCGCCTCTTATGGAAATGCACTCATTTCGGTTGTTCAGCTCAGGATTTCTCTCGTGGATGTGGAACGCTTCTAAAATCTTTCTAGCACCGATCTCATTCTCGTAGGCTAAGATTTTGCATTTGATATCAAAAACATTGCCTTGATGTACTTCTACTCGATGCTTCCCAAGTGGCGTAAATAGGCTTCCGCGCCTTTTACCTGCTAGATGTTCTTTGACACGTATGCCTAACATCCTTCCCGTCTCATCAATATATATTATCATCATTATAATATATTCCGTCACAGGCTAAACACTGAAGTTGATACACTGTCCCTCGTTGTGTGCAATCCCCGTCTTTTCCAAATGGACAAATAACGCAGTTATTCGTAGAACATGCACGATCATAAAGTCTATTGCGGATAAGGTGGCGTTTGATATTGTCCCCCGGTAGGTTCACCAGGACAACATCATTCGCCAAATCCGCTCGAGCTATGCATTGTCGAACTTCTGCGCTAACTTTATCCGATACAAATGGAAGTCGGAGATGCATCACACTCTCACGGTTTCTCAGCGAATAGGCTTTTGAGCCTGACCCTCTGTGTTGTGTATCATAGCCATTCAAGTTTGCGATCTTGCATGCTAGCTTACGTGACTCCTCTCGTTCCACCTCGCCTGTACACACTCCTGTAGCCGTTCTGTACACGTTACGAACTACTGCACTTTTCACAGCTTCAGGGTGAGCAGACTTAGCATGGAGTAAGATATTCTTCGAACTGTTCTTCCGATACCACTACACATGATACCTTCCATCTGAGAACTTTATCTGCGTGTTCAGATAAGGAAGTCAACCTTCGTGCGGAACTTCTCTCGTGAACCTGATATGCTGTGACTGCCGGTTGAGGATGTCAAACAATACATCCATCTCTTGCTGCGTTGATGTTATTACGCAGCAGTCATTGATATACCGACAGTACATAGTGGGCATGCGCGCGATAGCTGGCCTTTCTGTCCTACTCATGAAGCAGATAGCTAAGACCGGTGCTAGCCGCTGACCCATAGCAAGTCCTCGCTTTTGTTCAGATAGTTTTGGTTGTTACGAATCTAGACATCTTCATACAAAATTTTTGTATCTCCTGGATGCTTGCTCTTTGCTGTTGAAGTTCATCAAACTTAGGGAAGCGTAAAATATTGCACAAGGTCGAAATAGGAGGAAACTTTTCAAAATATCACACCTTTCCTTTTCCTCGTAGATCTTTTCTTTCCTTTGCTTGTAATTCCTTTACAAAGTTCTGGCTCCTCCTGGTTTCCAGCATGGTGAGCCGTAGAGTGTTCAATGACCTACCAATGAAGAGTAGTCCCAATATT